CCCCCCCCCCCCCCAACCACGGGTACATGATTGTGTTTAACATTCTTAGGTGTTGAATCTTATTTTATCACTCTGTTTGTAGAACGCATCATGTATCCTGAGGTGCCTATTGCTCTGAGAATGTCAGGACATCTTCTACTTGGGGTTGCTCGGATATATTCAAAGCAAGTTGACTATCTTTATGAAGATTGCCATGTTGTACAGATAACAATAAACAAGGTCTTTACTTCTGCGAACGTCAATCTACCCGACGGTGCAAATCATGCACCATTTCACTCTGTCACTTTACCAGAAAAATTCGAGCTTGATGCCATGGAATTAGACAATTATTCGTGGTATTTGTTTTATAGAACTATTTCTTTTGTTGCCTAAGAGCTATAGATACTGATAAATTCCTGGATTCATGTTTTCAGGTGTGAGAATGATCATCTTAAGAGCTATGATGATATTACTTTGACAGGTAGCAATATTATGTGTGGTTGCTTATATAGAGATTGTGTTTCTTCTTGCCCTCTCACTTATGTGTCTTTTCACCAATAATCGCGGACATAATACCTCAAAATTTACATGTTACAGAGCAAATTCCAACCGGGAAAGATCCATATATTGTCATCACTTTTGATGAGGTACTTCCATGGTTATACATCCTTTTGATTTGAAGATGGTTTAAATATAATATTATTTCTCAGTTGAGATCTTCTAATTGTAGGATACTTCAAGGGACACAATAGGGACTATGCCAATTGAGGAAGAGTATGGATTACATAGCCCATGAAAGTAAATTGTTCATTATGTCTTCTGTGGAAGTGATGAATAGAGTTTTTTTTCTCTTTTACTAATGCAGTGTTCCCCATCCGGTTCAAGAGGACATAGTTCCTGGTTACGAAGATCAGTCTCTGAGCAAACAGCAACTGCTTGATGAAGGAATTGCTGACGAGAACAGTCCTCCAGATTTGCCTGGTCTTGAAATGATGCGGGATGCTAATTATGGTTCTGATTTCAATGATAATCCAACATTGTCTGATCGAGCTGACCCAGACCCTGAGATTTTGAAGGAAATCGAAAAAGATATTATAGAAACTCGTACTCCGTATGTAGAAAAGCCAGAAGTACATTCTACATCTCAGAAGCATCAAGAATCACATTCATATAATCATTCAGATCCTGTGATGCCTTTTGGTAGGTGCAAACTTAATGTTATGACAAATAGATTCACTTTAAAATAGATCAACCAAACACGTTGTCTGGTTTTTCAGTCCACCATTCGCCTGAAGAAGAAATTCGAGCAACCCCACCTGTTGTTCAACCAAAAGTCAGAAAGAGGAAAAGAAAGCAGCCCTTTGACAAGTCTACTGTGTTGAGCAATGGGTATGCTTTGACATATCACTCCTATAAAATTTCAGATATACTGTTTTTCTTTTTGATAACAGGATATGGTGATAACAGGTATATGAGAAACTTGCTAAATGACACCAGTGATATTCGTCGTGCGAACAAGCATTGTCCTTGCTCTTCTCTGGACATCTGGAAATTAAACAACAGAATAAGAAAGGATGGTGCCCTTTTTGAGCCCTTGATAACCGGTTAGTATTATTATCTACAAATTTACCTGTGTTTATTTCAATTTTTGGGGTAGCTCTTCATAAGAAAATGGATCTGTACTTCTGCAGGAGTATGTGCTGAAATAAGTGATACCTTCAAGGAAGAGTTTATTTCTGCAAAGCCTCATTTGGTTGCCATGCAAGAAGCTCATGTGGAGGCTGTAGTTGATCCTTCTCCTTCATCTAGGCATGATAATGGTGTGGAAAGTGAACTTCTTCGTAATAATGAGTACAACTCAACAAATATAATTATGCCTTCTTTGCCCTCACCAACTACTCCAAGTAGAAGAAATGACTTCACTCCTGTCGCCGCCAATTTTGATTTCCAATCAGAACGTGCAGAAACAACTGAAGGGGCTGGAACATTACCCATGTCAGATATTGGAGCATCCACTGGCACCTTTTATTCTGACATGGAAACTCCAAAGACATTCAATGGGGAGCATTCAGCACTTTCTGATATTCCTGAGCTTGCATCTTCTGCTGGAGTATGTTTATGAAGCTTAATATATTTCCGTGATTTTGAGGATTCATCTGCTTATACTCCATTATCTTTCCTTACCTCACACTTTTGGACGTTTCTTTATGCATTTTTTCTTCCCAACAACTTATTCTCTATCTCCTGAAAACATCAAGTAGAGGTGGTTTTTATTTGCCTTTGTGAATTTTTCGAGCTCAAGTCATGTTCGACCTGAACAACTCTTAATTGGTTGTTAGCTCACATACTGGGTCAGAGCTTTATTCTATATTTTAATTTGTCATATTGTATATCTTATTATCAATAAGCTAATATTTAATTACTATATATATTATAATTTTTTACGTTTTACTGTTACTTTTTATTTTTATTGGATAGATGGAGTTAATTGTTCCAATGGTCACTGAATTGAAGTCCATGTCTTTGATTAACCACTGAAGTTTAAAATGTCGAGTTTTGATTATTGAACTTAAGTCCATGTCTTTGATTGTTCACTGAATTTTAAAATGTCGAGTTTTGATCACTGAACTTTGAAAAATATTGTATATTACTCACTGAATTTTGAAAAATTCCGTACGTACTATAAACTCGATATTTTTCAAAGTTCAATAGTTATACTAACGAGTAACGTACAATATATTTCAAAGTTCAGTGAGTGATTTACAATATTTTTTAAAGTTCAGTGATCAAAACTCGACATTTAAAACTTTAGTGAGTAATTGAAGACATGGACCTAAATTCAGTGAGCAATCAAATACATTGACCTAAGTTCGATTACCAAAACTAGATATTTTAAACTTCATTGACCAATCAAAGATGTGGACCTAAATTCAGTGACCATTGGAACAATTAACTCGGATAGATGATAAGTCAAGCAAAAAACGTTGGCTTTGTTTAAACTATCCGTTCCAAGCAGACTCAAATAACACTCGAGGGCCTGGAGGTTTGATTTTTATGCTCCAACCTAGCTTGAGCTTTAAAACATTAACCTCAGTAAGCTTGACCTGAGCTGAACCCCTTGTTTATATTGGTTGAACTTAAGCTTGAGTCCTATATTTGCCGAAGCTAGTGTGCTTGGCTCATTTGCGCATTCGTATTAAGTCTGATTTCTTTGTTACATATAATTCGTGTTTTCTAAAAATATTCCATCCAAAATGCTCTTATGAACCCCTTTCCTGCTTCGAAATTATTTTAACTTGACTGATAAAACCATGTTCAAGCATGGTTTAAATTTTCACATGTGACGAGGCTCTTATGTTATACCCACTATTTCTCTCCCCAAACATAGAAATGATAGATATGGAAATTAAATGTCCATCCACAGCCTGTGCAGTACAAATAGATATTGGAAATGCACTTGGTTTAAGCAATGTTTAATGTAGAATATTATGTCTGAACATATTTTGTACATGAAATGCATGTTTGCCTATTTAGGTTGACTTATTTGCTAATTGCATCTCCTAGAAAAACCTATATAAACATTCCATTGATTTGTTTTATATGTATTTAAATTCTACTTGCTTTCATATAGGATAGAACACTTTCTATTTTGTGGTCCATGCTATTCTTTAACTTATTTCTTGAAAAATGAGTTTGGAATAAACAGAATTTTGCTCCATTTTCCTTGTGTATCACGTGTACATTTTTGTACTTTTTTATGATATTTTAAGTTTCCTCATCTTCAATTTACAGGGTGGGTGTTCATGTGTCATATTTTGCATTTAATTTAAAGATGAAAACTTATTCCACAGATTTATGGCATGCACTTCTTGAATTTTGCATCTGACATGCTGCTTATTTCCTATTTTCCAGGACCTTGGTTTTTTAGAACAAGATGACCATTCGCCAGCTGGTAATTTTCAAATTTGTTATTTTTTCCGACTCCTGTACAAGTTACTATAACTACGCTTGTTGTAAGGAGACATGATAAATAACTCTGCTTTAATAGGATCTCAAGGAACCCCAGAAGTCGGGTTTTCCTCGAAAAATCAGGGGACTCCTGAAGTTCACACCTTGTCTTCTAGAACAAGGTAGATTCTTCCCTGAGTGACCTATCAAATTCCGTCCCCTAAAACAAATCAACTTTATTAACAATGGAGCTTTTTTGTGATAAATTCTTGTGTGATTGGTTTGCAGAGCTTTGGCTCAATATTTAAAAGCCCAGGCTTCAGTAACCACAGTCTCTGGCAACTCAGAAGAGTCATCTGGAGATCTCAGTTTGCTTAAGATTTTGGAAGGCAAACCGAGAAAAATATGTGCTCGAATGTTTTCTGAGACCTTGGTAAATGCTCAAGTATTTGCTCTGTTGCCTGTCAATTTTTCAATATTTCCAGTCTTTTGGCTTGAAATAAAAGTCCAACTTCAAATTGATATTGCATGTCTTGCTTAATTTTAGGTTTTGATTAATCATATACTTCTGCTGAGTTTGAAAGAATGTCTTCAGTCTTCAAATGGTTTCATGTTGTTTTGTTTTTCTGTAGTTACTAGTTTGCTAGAACGAATTTGATCAGATTTACTATATAGTCTTCAGGATAAGAATTGATCATATTTTAGGGTTGTTGGTTGAAAGTAGTTTGTTGCATTTCTTAAGGTTATTGTCGAAGCAAGCCAAATCCTAAAGTCTAGATGCACTTCTGTTACGCAGCTTTACTCTCTCATTTTTGATAATTTGCAAACCTTTGTTTTTAATTCATTTCAGGTTCTTAAGAATTACGAACTCGTGAATGTACATCAAGAAAAACCTTATGATGATATTTTTCTGAAGGTTACTCCTAAACTCTTCAAGGAACAGTTTTCAGGCTAAAAGTGCTCAGCAGTTCTTTATTTATATAGGTAAGAAACACCTGTCGTAATCAGTTTTATGTCACTACCGTTCAACTGTTATTTGCATGCTAGAGGAAATAGGCTAGGATGGTAACTTCAATCTTGGCAGCTTGCTAGTAACTGGCATAGGTCATCTTTCATTTTGTCGATCTGCTCGATGTTATTATTTATTTTTTGAGAAATAGATGAATGTATCACACAGTAATTTCACATAAAATTTGACATCTTGAAAAATTAATCAAGGGACGTCAAAATGTGCATGCCAAAGACCTATAAACCTTGAGACAGGTTTTGATGGTCCTATTTTGATTTTTTCAATTGATTTTGAACTGTATTTACTTAAGACGGGTTTCAAAGTCTTTAAGACAGGTTTTATTGCATCATCTTCTCGAGCTTTAGACCTTGAGTCTAATTTTAATGGATGCTGGGTATTCTTCTATGTAGGTCCATCTCCTTCAGCAGCACCATACTATCGAAGTCTCCCAGCTTTTTGTATATTGCAACTCTGGCTTAATGTGAAGAAATTGGAGCTTGTTTTGTATTGGACAGCATCGATACAAAGTGAATTTAACTTATTTATATGGTGAATGAGGATGTCCTCAGCCACTTTATGATGAGAAAAGAAGAGCAAGTTTTTATCTGGCAGGGACATGTCTGAACGTCAACATTTAATACTGAAAGCTTGCTATGATGCTTTATGGTTTTCAATTTGTGAACATAATTGGTTTTCTTCATGGAGATAATTCCTTGAAGATGTTATATAAATCCTTGAAATATGAATCTTGGAAATCACAACAAGATATGATATGTGCGTGGCAAGAAAGTTAAAATCAAATTGAAGAACTTTGACTCAATGATTTCTTGAATCAAGAATTCATGTTTTAGGATTGAATGCCACCAAGATGGGAATTTTTATCAAGTTCTTGATAGTTCAATGAAGAATAAGATGAAAAAAATTTGTTGTCTTCTATAATAATAATGTCTTGTATTGGTAGAATTCAATATTATCCTAAATTACACCGAGAAAGGAAATATATGAAGGATAATGATTGTTGAACAAGGTTAAAAACAGAGAAAGTGTGGATAGGTTTAGTGGGCAGCATTTGGTTGGTTTTTATTTTTATTTTTGTTTATTAAAATTTTTTTGAACTGTTCATTTATGTTTCGACACCTTTTCCTCTATTTTTAACCTTTGTCTTTGACCTTGTTTTTGTAGCATTTTTGATATATAAAGTTGACAAACTAGAGTTTTAATATACTTGGAAATTTTCACACCTGGGCTCTCAGATTATAATGTGTGAGCATGGTACATTATGTTGTGTGTGCATTGTACAATTGATTTAGCCTTGGGTTTTGGCTAACTAGGTTTTGTGCACGAAAGGGGTTCAAGGACGTGTGTGCATGGCTTTTCGGTTCCTTCATCTTACCTTGAATCAAATATATTAAAAGTCGGCTCTTCTATTTTAACGCCCATTTTGAAGGATGATGTATTTGCTTGTTTCACATAGAAATGACAATTTGAACCGTCAAAATCGAAAATCGTGGTTAACTGAATCGAACGAGGCGAAAAAAATTGAACCGATGATACAATGGGACGAATATGATATTTGATTTTAATGACTCGATTTGGAGCGGTAAAGGTACGATATTTACGCCGTCGCCCCGAATCGAATCGATTACCCGTTAAATTTATATTTTTCATCTAAATAGTAATTCAATGCAAAATATGTATAAAAAAAAAAAAATCTAATTTTGCAAACTCCACGATGGCCTTTTTTCTTCCTTTGCAGTCACACACGATGGTTATCATCTAAATCGTTTTTTAAGCGAACTCAATCAATAATTTCAGTTTCAAAAAACTTATTCTCTTATGGTAAATTTGATCATTTGATTAGTTTTAGGCATTTGGATTGGTTTGAAATTAAGTATACATAGTCTTTGCCTTTTATGATTTTGTCATCAGTAACATAGATATCACCTTGCTACCATAAATTACCGCATTCTTACATATGTACCCTCTATCGGTCCTTTGTACAATTTTGATTTGGTAAGTGGTCGACAATGCAAATTGTTTGAAGTGCTTTGAATATAATTCACTCGACTATCAGTTGATAATCATCATGTGTGACTTTTTTTTTCATAAATCATTTTTTTTTTCAATTTGATGATTGGATATATGAAAAATAATTTATTTTCATGATTATTAACCGCCCCAAACCCCGACTGAACCGAATTGAATCAAAACTGGCTTACGTAGTTATTGTACGGTTATGGCATGACAAAAAAATTGATGGTTTTATAATAATTTTTGCTGAACAGAACCGTTGCCAACCCTAGTTTCACAATAGTTATCTCATTTTATGTTCTTAAATTTTTTTCCCCTATAAATAGTCTATTTATCTCAGGTTAAACAATCATTATTATTTAAACAATTATTTACAAGATCATACCAGCCTACGTGTGACATGAACCCCAACCTGGGGCAGACCCATTAAGGGACGAGTGGGGTCGGTCGTTCTAACTGAATTTTCAAAAATCTTCAATTCAATCTTGTTAAATTTAAATTTTTAGTCTTTATTTTTATTTTGGCTTTTTTCACAATTTATTTTAGCCAATTTTCCGTCTCGCTCCCACTAAAGAATAATTTTGGGTCCATCCGTGACACCCACTCAACAAAGTACCAAAGATAGCCATACATATGAGAGATTGATATGACATTTATTATGGTAATGTTTAATAATTAACATTGTCAAGCGTTATAAACAAAATAACTATACTTTAAAATCTCTCAGTTTCGAAGTTATTCTTGGGTGACAAGGCCCAGGACATCCGGGGCCCTGTCACAAGGGTTTTTCCCCGTGTAAATTACAACACTCTTTGTAATCTATTTTCCCCCATAAAAATTACATAAGGGGTCCAATCTATTGAAAATATAGCAAGTAGGTTCCAAACTAATATTTTGGCAACCTCAGTCCCAGCCTTTCATTTCTATAATATTTGAGACTTAATTGAAGAGTTTGCCTCGTGTTTAATTAATTACTCTATGTTTTGAGTTAATTAACAGATTAATACTAATATTTATCTATGAATATTACTTTCTCACTCAAAAATCAAAAAAGTTACTAATTGCTCACTTACTTTTAAATAACGTTACCCATCCACCATATATTTAAATTCCGTTCATTCACATGGTGCCAAAAAAAAAAAAAAAAAAAAAAAATTTTATG